AAAAAAAAAAAAAAGAAAATTGTATTTATAGTAGAAATTTTAGAAGCAATAGAAAAGTAAAAAAGAAAATCACAACTCTAATTCATGACTCAGGATGATCTTTGTTAACAGTTTTTAGTCATTGTTTTGTACATGAAATATACATACTATTTTACAAAAGTGAATCTTTCTTTCTTTTCTTTTCTTTTTCTTTCTTTCTTTTTTTTTTTTGAATAGTCTTTCTGTTGCCCAGGCTGGAGTTCTGTGGCATCAGCCTAGCTCATAGCAACTTCAAATTCCTAGATTCAAGTGATCTTCCTGCCTCAGCCTCCCTGTAGCTGGGTCTACAAGCTCCTGTGGTTCTCACTTCTGCTCAGGCTGGTCTGGAACTCCTGAGCTCAAACAATCCACCCTCCTCAGCTCTCAGAGTGCTAGGATTACAGGTGTTAGCCAGCATGCCTGGCCCCCGAAATGAATTATTCTTTATGGACTTTGCAGCCTGTTCATTTTGAACATCTCTTCCTATTATTATGACAGACTGCATTTTGATGTTACTGTTTAGTAGTAAAACTAGATGCTGCTTTTTAGCAACCCGGAAGTTACACTCCCAGTGACTTCCCTTGAGGGGGGCCATAGGAAGTAATACTAATAATGGGCAAAATGGGTTAAAGAAATTTTTCTAAACATTGTAGGGTGGCATACTTCCAGAGTCTTACCTAAGAGCCTTTTAGGATGGGTGAGGAGGGCTGTAATGCCTCTGCTTCAGAGCCTCAGGCTCAGAGAGTAGAGACCGCAGCAGCTCTGAGCTGAGCTCTGTGTATGGTGTGTGTGAGGGTATGACCAGTTCTTTATGCTTTATCTTTACTGTTGTAGGTTTGGGGCTGTGAGCTACAATTGCCTAGTTAGAAATCACTGGTCCTTGGCTCGGCTCCTGTGGCTCAAGTGGCTAAGGCTCCAGCTGCACACACCTGAGCTGGCGGGTTTAAATCCAGCCAAATAACAATGACGGCTGCAACCAAAAAATAGCTGGGCATTGTGGCGGGCACCTGTAGTCCCAGCCACTTGGGAGGCAGAGGCAGGAGAATCTCTTGAGCCCAGGAGTTGGAGGTTGCTGTAAGCTGTGATGCCATGGCATTCTACACAGGAAGACAGCTTGAGGCTTTGTCTCAAAAAAAAAAAAAAAAAGAAATCACTGGTCCTTGTTATCTGGCAGAATCTGTTCTTTCTTTTGGAAAGTGAATGTTAGTTCAGGTCTTTGGGGTTTTTTTTATTATTTATTATTATTATTATTTTGAGACAGAGCCTCAAGCTGTCACCCTGGGTAGAGTTCTGTGATGTCACAACTCACAGCAACCTTCTACTCCTGGGCTTAAGCGAATCTCTTGCCTCAGCATCCCAAGTAGCTGGGACTACAGGCACCTGCCACAACACCCAGCTATTTTTTGGTTGTTGTTGTCGTTGTTATTTGGCAGGCCTAGGCTGGATTCGAACCCACCAGCTCTGGTGTATGTGGCTGGCACCTTAGCCACTTGAGCTACAGGCACCGAGTCTGTTTTATTTTTATTTATTTATTTTTTTGAGACAGAGTTTCTGTTTTGTCCTTGGTAGAGTGCCATGGTGTCACAGCTCATAGCAACCTCAAACTCTTGGGCTTAAGCGATTCTCTTGCCTCAGCCTCCCAAGTAGCTGGGACTTAGGCGCCTGCCACAATGCCCAGCTATTTTTTGTTGCAGTTGTCATTGTTTAGCAGGCCTGGGCTGGGTTTGAACCCTCCAGCCTCAATGTATGTGGCTGGCGACATAACCACTGTGCTACAGGCACCAAGCCCAGGTCTTTGTTTTTGTATGTAGGTCTCTTGGCCATCTCTCACCTTGTTTTCTGAGATTAGTCTGTAAGCCCCAGGAAGGACCAGAACTTTCAGTTAAACCAAAAGTTATGGAAGGCCTTCCCCTGGGCGGGGATTCCAGATGGGGACGAAGTACTCCCTGCTCTCAGGGAGCTTGCTCTATAGCTGCTGGTGTTGCCTTGTTGACCATAATTCCAAGTGTAGCCAAACCCCGGGGTATTGATGGAATCCTAATTTCCGTGTGACTTTCCTTTCTAGTGCTTAGTCACTGGTTATTGCCACTATCACAGTGCTGGGAGGTGGAGAAGGACCTTACTGTTCTCTTCTCTGTGTCCACTGCCACAGACCTTGATCTAACATTCTTATCACTGCCATGTTCCTGCCTGAAGTCCTGCCTTTGACATTTCATGCGTTCCCCACTGTGCGGCCACCTGAGTCATTCTGAAGCCACACTCTGGTCCTGTCTCTCATTCTGATTGTTAGAGATTCCTGCTTATCCTCAGGAAATGTTCAGTCCTTGGCCTAGTGTGCAAAGCCACATCCACTGCAACCTGTCCAACCTTTGCAGCCCACCCCCCTTCTATCGCTTCCTCTGCTCCAGGCTTCAGTCCTGCTAAACTATTTGTGGTTCTTTCCACTTGAGGGCACCTGCCACTCTGCTCCCACCATTCCTGTTGTCCTTCAGTCTCTGTAGGAGACCAGCTAAAGTGTCCTACCAGGTCTGTCAGCCTTCTCTGATTTTCCTTCACTCAGGAGAAACCACTTTCTTTGAGCCCTGAGAAGGTTTTTTCTTTTTCTAGTACATCTTACCTTCTGCCTTTCTTTGTGCTCTTGGGAGAAGGTATTTCTCTCAATGGAGGCTGTAAGTATCTGGTAGGCAGGAATAATCTTTGAATCTCCTTACGCTTTCACAAAGTTGCTTGGCACTCTGAAGGTGCTTCAGGAAAGGACATTTGAGTGTGGGGACCTGGAGTGCCCAGAGCCTTCCCATAGTCTAGTAGCAGAGCTGACCTTGGGCTAGTTTGGTGTGCTCTCTTCCCTCCCTGGCTGCTTCCTCAGGTTTTGCAGGAGCACACCGGGACAAGCCTTGAAAGAAACCTTCGCTCTGATACTCTGTCTTCATCGTCTGTGTTTCCCATCTTACAGATACTGGTGACCATGAGATCCCTGCAGCTGCTGAGAACCCCTTTCCTGTGCACCCTGCTGTGGGCCTTCTGTGCCCCAGGTGCCATGGCTGAGGGGGCTGAGCCAAGCATCTCCCATCCCAGCAGCGCAGGCCTGGATAAGAACGCGGTGCACGACCAAGAGTACGTATCCGGCCCGGGCTGTGGTCCAGGGGCTTCTCCACCATTTGCAGCTGCAGTGCTCAGTTCTCTTCTTCCTCCTATTTGTGTGGCTCTTTGACATTTTTCAAGGATGACATTTATTCCCTGTAACCACCTATAAGGCAGGCATTCGTTTTTCATCATTATATCACAGTTGGCGGCTCTTGAGGCCCAAATTACTTGTCTGAATCCAGTCTCTCTCTTGTAGCACGGATAGACAGACGCAGACACGGGGATATACACACATACACAGACACACAGTAGTGATGGCAGAATCCAGACAATAACTAAGGTGTCTTGACTCTTAACAAGATCTTTTTTTAAATGAACACATTCACACATCGTATCATCTGTAGCTTTTGTCCTGGGCCAGTTAGTCCCACCCATCATTCTTGGTTATCCTTGAATTACTTTTAAAAATATATTTTTAATCAATGCCCCCAAAATCTTATAACAAAAGTCTAATAATAATAATAAAGAGGAAAAAAACACTGTAATCTTGCCAGCATAACAGATGCACTGTGTACACTCTGCTCCTTTCCTGGCCTTGTCTACGTGTGTCATCCTTGAGTGCTGCCTGCTGCTCCTGCTAGTTTTTTTTCTGAGCTGGAAGAAGTTTAAGATCTTGAACTTTTCAGAGTCCTTAATGTTTGGCGTGATCCCAGTGTCTCTGCCAAGTGGTCTAAGTCTGACTGTTGTTCTTTAGGCATATCATGGAGCATCTAGAAGGTGTCATCAACAAACCAGAGGCGGAGATGTCCCCACAAGAGCTGCAGCTCCACTATTTCAAAATGCATGATTATGATGGCAATAATCTGCTCGACGGTTTGGAACTCTCCACGGCCATCACGCATGTCCATAAGGAGGTAGGTCCAGCAGTGGCTTGTGGGGCCATGTCTCAGATAGCCCCCCTTTGGTCCCCAACCTTGATGACCTGTGCTGTGTTTGGCTTGAGGGGGCCATATCTCAGATGGCCCCTCTTTTGTCCCCGACCTTGATGACCTGTGCTATCTTTGGGCATCAAGAGTGCTGCTTTTCCTTTCTGTGCTCTGTTCTGCTTCTTCCTGGTTAACTGCCCCTCCCTCAAAGAGTGACCTGCTGAGGCGGAAGCCTCAGGACTGGGCATTTGTGTCTTTACAAGTGCTGTAGACATTGCTGCCCCACACCAGGATTGGAGAAGCAGTGCCTCAAAAGGCAGATTATAGTCAGACTGCAGGGCAGGGGAGGAGTGACTTCATTTGAGGATAATAGTGAGTCGGGGGACCAAGGCACATGGCAGTTGTTGAGGGTTTGTGTGATACTGTACAGGGCTCTGTAATTTCCGAAGCTCTTTGAGGTAGGTTAGAGATCTTACTGGAGCTTTGCAATATCTTGAGTAGGCAGGGACAGGCATTGTTATTACTCCCATTTTCTAGAAGAGGAAACTAAAGTTAAGATCTTATGCCTCCAGATAATCATGTTATTCCCCTCTGCCACATAGGCATAGTGGTAAGGTGTGTGTGATCACATTTGCTGCCAGGAGTGCAGGTTGGGGTTGGCTTGAAGGCAGCAGGGAATGCTAACAGTTTCACACAGGCAAACTGCACTGTTTTGGGAAGATTCTTCCCTGTGGCAGGTAGACTAATGGATGTGAGGAGGACATAGCATTAGGGAGAGAGATTAAGATTCAGCAGTCCTGGCAGATGAGACTGGTGGATGTGGGCAATGTGGCAGAGGAAGAGACAGCCACAGATGTGAATGGTCTTAGCTTAGCCCCCAGCATGGAGAGCCCGGCTGCCCCTGCTTCTGGAGCAAGGGAAATCCTTTCTTCCCACAGACCTCAGCAGGTCCTACTCATTGGTAGTGCCTTCTTCCTCTTGTTTTGATGCCAAGGTGTTTTGTCACTTTATCAAGAAAATTGTGTACAGAGCTGACCCTTGGGAGGGCTTGGGTTTTTTCTCTAGGATGGGTTTACGTGTCGTGATATTTGTGTAACTCACAGTTCTCTGTATGCCAGACCCAGTTTTCCACAACGAACATGTGTTGCTTTGTGATTAGAAAAGATGCACAGAAATTGTCAAAACAAATAAGCATGAGCCTGCTGTGAAGTGACTTTTTTTTAAGCTGGCAAATGTAATTTCTAAATTGGATTATTAACTGGCTCTGTATCTGATACATAGTTTTGTGAATTCCTAGCAACAATGACCTACTACGTTGAAAGAGTTTTTAGATTTGTATGAACATGGGCATTTTGGACATCAGCTAAGCATCTCTTCCGGTAAAATGTGCACCTTATCATTATTTACTTTGTATTTTGTAGGAGGGGAGCGAACAGGCACCACTAATGAGTGAAGAGGAACTGATTAGCATAATAGACGGCGTCTTGAGAGATGATGACAAGAACAATGATGGCTACATTGACTATGCTGAATTTGCAAAGTCACTGCAGTAAACCTTATTTGACCATCTCATAGTTCTATGCGAATGTGACCCATGATAATGTGATTGAACACTTTTGGTAATGCAAAATAACTCATTTCCACTTACTGCTGCAGCATTTGGTAAAAACCTGTAGCAATTTGTTACACTGGGGTGAGAAAGAAGTCAAAAGAAATAGAAGAGAAATGGGACATCTTGTATTCCCAAGTTCTTTTAAAGCTCTTATTGGACAGGGCTTGCTTAAAGTGTCTTTTTAAGAATATTGAATAATTGGAGCTGAGCACTCAGGAACTTGACTGTAGTAAAATACTGCTAGTTTCGTAATTTTAATTCATGCTACCTGAAAAGTAAGAAAACAAGCTTTGCCAAGTGGACACACTTTTCAGTTAACAGTGAAGGAATGGAAGGAATGCCAAATGTTTTCTGTGTGGGGTCCTGTCTCTTCAGGTGAACACGGTCAGTATTCCGTAAACTTTCCCTGGTCTAAATGATTACTTGCTGTGGGCAAGTGGATATTTATTAGGCTATTTCAAAGCCACAACATAAGAAGAAAGTCAAATATTGAGTTCAGTTGGCCACAGAGTCTAAGATTCTGTATCCTCTGGCATTTTGGAAATGATCTACCACTGGCCTAAGTGATTAACCTTTTTCAGATTTTTCAATGTTTTATACTACTACTGCCACGTGCTTATACTTTGTTTCTTTTCTGTCTTCATTCTGGGAGAGACCTTGAATTTAAACATGTTCTCTAACCAATAGAAAATGTTTTAGCTTTCTTGATGTTTCTATTTCACTCTTCTTTCTAGAGTTTTGTTTTGCAGTTTAGGAACTGTTAGGCGGGTGAGGACTTCATATAGCAGGGGCAAAACTACTAGCTGGTCTAGCCCAGGTGGGAAGTGACAAGATCGTTCACCAAACCCAGTGATTGGCTTGATGTAAGTTCTGTTTAGAAGGAATATTGTTTAAATTATCTCTTCTAAATTGAATACATGGATTCTTTTCAAATCAAGAAAGATTTTTAGAAAAGAAAGCCCAACAACTCTTTTCACAGTATGACTCTCAATAGTATTTGAAAATGAGAAGCAGCAGCAGAGTATAATTTGGTTTATTGGACGTGATGGACATGCATTAATGGAAAACCTGAAATGGTGGTTGGATGGGAAAAAGAAACTGCATAAAATTTGCTGTAAGACGTATAGAGACTTATTTTCTTTATTAAAGTATTCTTATAAGAAAACATATGTATTTGTAAAAATGGTTTCCTGTGTTAAGTATTTGTGCAATCAGAGCTGACTTGTAAACTATTCTTATAGTATTTCATTATTTTGAAAGATTTATATAATGAATTCTGGAAATATGACTGATAAATAAAACTGATGAAACAAAATAAAGAGCAATTCTTTTTGTCTACACAGTCAGCTTCTGCTGTGCGATGGGTTGCTTTGTTTAACATATGTGTCTATATTTGTCTGCTCTTATCCGGTCCCATAACCAGGCACGGCTATACCCTGCTCCTTTTGCAGGAGTAAATTAGGTGTTTTTCTTCTGAATGAAATCACTTTTGGATCTTTATTCTCTAGCCAAATTCAGATCATGAGACTTCTCTAGGAGAACACACAGTGTTTTTTGCTTGAGTCTGCTGACTATTTTTTCTTCACCAGAAAATTTAACTAGATGGCATTATTGAAAACATCCCAGGTCCAAGCAAAAAAAGCAATCTTCCCTGGCATTTTGGGAAAGACAAAGTTTTGCCTATTAAAAAGAAAGTGTTGGCTTGGTGCCTGTAGCTCAACGGGCTAAGACGCCAGCCATGTACACCTAAGGTGGCGGGTTCAAATCCAGCCTGGACTCGCCAAACAACAATAATGGCTGCAACCAAAAAATAGCCGGGCGTTGTGGTGGTCGCTTGTGGTCCCAGCTACTTGGGAGGGTGAGGCAGGAGACTCGCTTGAGCCCAGGAGTTGGAGGTTGCTGTGAGCTGTAATGCCACGGCACTCTACCCAGGGGGACAGCTTGAGGCTCTGTCTCAAAAAAAAAAAAGGAAGTGTCCATTGCCTTTTCTTTCCCCCAAGACCCTTGCACCTTACTCGGGCTCTTCTTCCAGGGATGCCCCTCTGGATGGATATCATGTATGGGGAGGGAAAGAAGTAGATCTTGAGAAATTTGAATCTCCCCCCTAAATGGACAATCCCGAACACCCTCCTCCTCTGTGGCCGGCTGCTTTTGTAATTATTCCAAAGTGAATGATTCTGTCACCTTTGTGGTCCTGCTTGTCTGCCTTTCCTTACAGAAAATTCCCCTGATGGGAGAAGAGCCTGTGATATCAGGGACACAGAGCGATTTGCAGTTCCTTGCTCACACCCTCTGTCTCCCCTATGTGAGACCTTGGCCTTCGCTTACTGCCTACCTCAAGAGTTTTTCTAAATGGAAAAGGGACATCTCTGTACCTCACTTTCCTTATTTCTAGAATGGAGATAAATACATCCAGGAGAGGCAGCCTTATGTGAAGAAAGAGCACAAGCTTTGGACTCAGGCAGACCTGAGTTGAAATCTTGGGCCTACTACCCCTTAGCTCTGAAGTTTTTAGACTTTTAAGTTCTTGTCTAAAAAATAACTATAATAGAAGTTACCTACACAATGGTTAAGAGGATTAACAAAATGAAAGAAAGTAGATAAAGCACCTGGTACAGGGCATGGCACGGAGCAAGTGCCTGTCCCCCAGGCTGTCTGAAGAGCCCAAGCCCTTTCCTCATTGAAGAGTGGGGCCTGGGAGGGCTGTCAAGGAACAATGACTCCTCAGGGGTACAGAACAAAGGGTCTTTTCTGCCGCTTATATTCCTTCATAAAAATACTGAGTGAATGAATGAATGCTCTCTCAAGGGAGAAACTAAGAGTCCCGTCGAGTGCCAAGGATTGAAATAGAGCCAGACCAAAAGAGTTTGCAGTCATCTGGTCTCATGACAGGTGACTTGTGGCTTTAGTGGGCCCTCCTCTACCTCTGCAGAATCTGGAGGTTGACAACAGAAATCAAGTCGGAGAGCTCTCAGCTTGGGAATGCTGAAGCCAAGAAGAGTAGGGATGGGGGACTGTGTTGAAAACAGAACCGCAGTGAACTGTATGTGATCACAGAGCCCCAAAGGCCAGCAGACAGGCTCATATGCCCTGGGAATGAGGGTAAAAGTTTCCATTCCTGCAGAAACTGAATTCACTCAAGAAAAGGACCTCCATATTTCAAATTGTATATAAACCCAGCACATTGTACTCCATGACTGCATTAATGTACACAGCTATGATTTAATAATAAAAAAAAGAAAGGACCTCCAAGTCCTGACCTTTAGCGGTTCATGTGAAAAATCTGCATGGCCACCTGCCCCCCACCACATAGAGAAGCCCTCAAACGAGGCTGTCCACACCCTGATAGTGTCTCATCAGCTTGTTCATGTCTCACTGCAGTATAAATGGATTCCTGAGGATCAGAAGACAGTTGGAAGAAACTTTTGATGTGCAAGGGACAGAAACCAAAACAAACTGAGAAAAGGAGCATTGAAGAAATTGAGATAAAAACATATAATGAGCGTCCTCAGAGAAGAGAGATCGATCACATCCATAAAACAAAGATGCCAATGAAAAAGGAACCCGTGGAAAAGAGAATCTAGGAATTAAAAATGTGATACTCACTCCCCACGTTTTTCACTAAAAGGGCTAAAACAGGCCAGAGAAATCTCCCAGAATGTAGAACAAAAAAATAAACAGATGAGTGATAGCAGAGAAAGGATAAGAAAAGAAGCTCTTTTGAGGACATTCAATATCTAACTCCTAGGAGTTACTAGGAAGAGAAAATGGGAAGTGTGATGGGGGTGTGGAGAAGTAACCAACCCACTCAAAGTGGAGTAAGAAACAAGCAAATGGTGGGGGGAGGGGAAGGGGAGAATCTGCTGGCCACGTTCCTGAGATGGCTTCAGACCTGACCCAATTCTGGAACTTACCCTGCCACTGCCACCGGGAGCTGCCTTAGCTCTGTTCACAGGTTCCGCATAGGGACAGGATGGCGGCAGTGGTTCCAAGCATCCTTCCCAGCTTCCAGTCCCTCAGAGAAGAAAGCCTATCTCTGGCTCTGCGTCCTGGAAAGATCTACGGCGTAGTGCTAAGATAAGAGAATGAACTCCGGCATCAGACTACTTTAAAGCGAGTCCTGCCTGGTTTTGCCATTTAATGCTGTGTCCTACTGCCGCTGTGCCTCAGTTTCCTCAGCTGATAACAATGATAGTATTGCCTCATCTGGCTGCTGTGAGGACTAATTGAATTAATGTGTAAAACCCTAAAAAAAGGGCCTGGACAGAGGAAGCACTTTATCAGTGTCAGCCACAATCATTATTCCGAGTTCATTCTGAACTAATTACCAAAGCCAGGGCCGTGCCACACAGGCCAACTGGCTCAGGCCTTGGTTAATGCTTCATCCCCACGGAGGGGCTAGAGCCCCACTAGTAATAAAATGATTGAAAGTGGGAGGAAGCCTTTCAGGGAGGGAAATCAGTACCATTACCAGAAGAGGAGGATGGGAGCTAATGCGTGGTCTGCCAGAGGGTGATGAGCATTTGACTGTTTAATTTTTCCAGAGAAATCTCCTTGCTCCCCCCTATCCAATGGTCTAGCCCTATGGCTCTGCTGAGACCATTATTATACTGTATTTGAAGGCACAGCCATTCAGCAGAGCAGTCCAGGGGGCTCTGGGTACCCCACCTGTTCTCGCCTGCCCCTCCACTCTCAGCATGAGAGGAAACTGTGTTAGTTGTTCAGTCAGAACATCATCATCTGATTTTGGCCCCTGACTGGAATCACCCATACTTACCTCCCAAGAACAAAGAATGCTTTTCAGACATAGGCCAAACTAAAACCATTTTAGGAAAAAAAAAATTCAGCTATGAAAAGCTATGCAAGGGTCATTTGAACCAATCTACACCTCTTGACAGCCCAACCCAAAGTGTCCACACTGGGGTTGCTTCTGCCCACTCTGGGCATTCCCGAGGATCCATGAATTCCCCAGGATATCAACAGAGCCCCTCAGGGAGCTGTTGCCTGATCAAGTTGGAAGATCTGCCTACAAAAGCTGTCACCTACACAAGTCCCACTTCCAGGAGGAGGGATTGGAACTATGTCAAGAACACACAGAGAGAGACTAGAGAAACAGAAGTGTGTGCAGAAGGGAAGGTCAGGGACACGTTGGTCTATGGTCAAGACACAGAGGAGCACCAGGGCACTGAATTGCAGCCGGGAATGTGGCCAGGAAGGTCCACAGGGTGATGTATGAGGATAAACCTTTAGCAAGTGGAATTCAAGGGAGGGGATGTCAAACGTAATTGAGTTTTATAATAATGCTCTTTAAGACCTTCAATTTCCTGCTCTGTGTTCGACTACACAACTGTAATTCAATCTCTCACTTTTGGTGCTATAGGAATAAAATACTGATATTTTATTACAAACATAATACATTTACCCTACACATAACTTGAATATACAGAATAGACAATAGTCTCACTTAATGCCGCCCCTAAATTACGTTGTACCTCCTTTTGATTTTCTGTTTCTTTTTTGTTTTTTATGTAGTTGTAATCATGATATTTATACAATTTTATGGCTTTTAAAATCAAAGGCATATTCAAGCATAAAGTCTTTCCTATCTCTACTATTATTTCTAAGCTTCGAGCAATTTTAAGCCTTGGTAAATATTGTTAAATTGCTGTCCCAGAGAGTTATGCTAATTAATTTTTCATTCATGTTGTATATAAAGAAAGAGCTGCACCCCACAAATGCATAAATATATTCGGGATATGTGTATATGACTTAATGAAAGGAAGAAAAAAGGAAGAGCCTATTTCCTTTAGCTACACTCATAGCACATCCCAACAAGTTTATCCAAACATAGAACAACTAGATATTACTGCTTTTAAAGTTTTAATCAGGGCTCAGCGCCTGTGGCTCAAGTGGCTAAGGCGCCAGCCACATACACCTAAGGTGGCGGGTTTGAATCCAGCCTGGACCCACCAAACAACAATGACAGCAGCAACCAAAAAATAGCCGGGCGTTGTGGCGGGCACCCGTGGTCCCAGCTACTTGGGAGGCTGAGGCAGGAGACTCGCTTGAGCCCAGGAGTTGGAGGTT